CCAAAACCCCATTGCCAAACTCTAGCCACCAATTTCCATGCTTTGGGTCCTGTAAAATGACATAGCAACAAAGTTTTTCATGTCATGTTATCGTCTTGGGCGTAATATAAGCCTAGTATATTTCAAGAAAAGTGTATTTTAGTGCATAATTATTTTGATTCTGAAGCTACAGCCTATGACTTCTTTTTTCAAGAAATTTGAGAAAGATCCTAAATTTAAAACTTTCTAAATAAAAATTTTTCTATTAAGAGAATGTATTCTTGCAAATGGCAGCTCAAGATCGACTTCATAAAAACTTTTCCATTCACCAAAGATGTTCTATCACGTGGAAACAATCTATTTTTGTATGGTACACCAAGCCAATCAATAGTAGAAAAAGAAGATGACTGAAAGAATGGAACTTTAATAATACTAACTACAATTGAAAACAATGAAAGATTCAAGTTTCATCATTTTAGTCCTTTGTGCTAATTTTACAACACTAGGGTCAAGTATTAGGAAAATTAAAATATTTATGAAATCTTGATGTTTCTCAAACATTAGTTTAAGCCAAATTCCATTGACTTCCCATTTAAAAAAAAAATTCCTATCTATTGACTTGAAAGTCTATGTTCTTAAATAAGCAAAACTTTCAAAATATACCAAGAAGGTTAAATATTTGTTTTGATAAAGATTTATTAATTAATTCAAGAAATCCATGTTTACTATGGCGAAAAATTATAAGAGTACAAGTATAATTACCTTCCATACTAATAGGCTAATATCAAATTGGCCCCTATTGTATGAAGAGATTGGAGAAATTGCAGCCCCAATTGCTATTCTATGGTTAATCTGAACAAATCCTGAGCAAAGCAAATTGTAACAACCTGTTGCTTGATATGCATCACTCTGCATGTACATTAAATTATTTATAGTTAGTCCTCATAAATAATTATTTTAAGGTATGGTTCAACAAATTATTAGAAAATTAATTAAATAATTTTGACAAAATTAATAATAATAATAAATAAAAAAACTCACAGTCCAGTATGTGAAGAACCTAGGATAGTTGTCCCCATACAGCTGCGGGCTAACCTGTTGGAAAATCATTAATTAATTGACTTAACATCTAGGTTTATATTTCAAAATTTTAATAAGATAAAGAGGTAGTTGAAGATTTAATTGCTGCCTTGATGGTGTTACAGAAATAGTTTTCAGTATTAACTTTTGTATTCATTTCTTTACAAGTATAGAAAATGTGTATTTTTAGAGCGCCTCAAAAATTATTATACGGGAAGAATATTGAACTTTAAGAAATAATGAATTATGTCTTATTTTTCAAATATAGTTCTTCTTCAATACACAGAAGACTCTAATTAAAAGAAGATAATACAACATAACATATTTTCAAATGAAGTTGAAAAAATTATTTCCCCATAATAAAAAACTTAATTCGATTAATTTTAAGCCACACTCAAAAGTTACTTTCTTAAAAATTAATATTTACGTTTAGGAAAACTAAGTTTACAAGTAAAGATAAAAGAGAATAATGAAAAGTAACTTTGAAAATTCATACAGAATAAGTAACTTTAAAGTAAATTTAGCCCCCCTTTGGCAGCTTTTTTTTTCATGTCAAAAGATTAATTTTTTGATTGTTATTTCACAATTTCATTCATCATTTTTGATTTCCTCACTCAAAGGTGGACGTGCTTTTCTTTCTAACGGTAAAGAAATTAATTCTCATGATCAATACCGAACAGGTACTAAAGTAGAGACGATTATAAACTCACCTGCCAACCAGCTTCAATGGTATTGAGATCATTACCGAATGAACCAGCAATTACCCACAACTGTGATATGCTAAATTCATACTGATTTGCAACTCTGGGTGCCCATACATTAATGCTTGCTTTTGCTCCATAATATTGATTTCCACTCACATACCCTACAGCATGCTACAACCCAAAAATAGATGTCCGAACGTTAGGTCGACTATATAAATCATTTTTCATCTCTATGTTCGATCAATTAGACTAACCTCATGCCCATTGCTAGACGAATCTCTTCGAATAGGCCTTCGTATTTTTCTCCCGAATCTTCGTATAGAACTAGCCCTCAAAAAATCTTGCTCTGTTGTTCTTCTAATTGGAATGGTCCCTTCTGGGCAAAATTCACCAGACAGAGACCATAACTGAACATTTTCTTTAAACACGCTGCTTGTTGTATTTTCCCCTTTTGGCCTTTCAGGGAGTTCCTGCAAATTCAAGAAAACGCGTCTATGATTCTGAAAATCGAAACCAAATTTATTTGGAAAAAGGCATAAATTGTCGTGTTTACCATTGGTTTTTGTCCTTTTAATAGAGGATGATCAAAAGCTGGCTGTAGATGAGATAATACACAATCTATAAGATCACCATCAGGACTCTGAAAATTAAACAAGAATGTTAAGTCAGATTCTTTATGCAAAAATAATCAAATTAAGCAAATATAAGCAATTAATTACCTGAATTGTCTTGATAGAGGGTTTATTGATCTTCATCAGACGGTCTCTGATAAACCTCATCGTCACGGATTCTTTTCTTGGATCAAAATTCTGATCGCTACCATTGAAATTTACAGATTCCACTGGACAAACAGAGAAAATAAAGAACATAAAGAGAACAAAAACAGAAATGACTGGGGAGATTCTGCAACAGCTAGATGCCATTTTTGTGGAATGAATTTTTGTACATTGGTGTTGTCTTCTTCTGGAATCAAAATCAATCCACTAAATCTCAAAATAAGCAATTCCAAGAAATATATCCAGCTTAGTATGTGAATTCTAAGGAAAACCAGCTCACTCTCTCACCATCTCCGAAGCTTAAAAGCAACTTAGAATAAGTAAATCCTCTCTCTCTAAACTACTATACTCTGGTTTTATATTACAACTTCTAGGCATGAATTAATAAAAAGAACAGAGCAATGATTTCTGAGAATTTGGAGTTCTGCCCATGTGGGGTGTGGGGATATATTACTTATTAGTCTGGACTTGTGACCAAGACATGTAATAATTATAATTTAGTTTTGAATATTTGAATGAAATTAAGCTGAAGGGAGGGGGACTGAGTGTGTGTGTATGTGTGGTGTTTCCAGTCTCCTATACAAAGGCTGAAACTTTAGCTTTTTGGGTCAAATTTTATAGGGCAGAATGGGAAGTGAAATTGTGTTGTTATTCTTTACTTTTAGGTCATGAGGCAGATAGGAAGTACACTTGATTCTGGGCTGTCTAATGTTCCTTGCTTTGGGTGTTTGCCTTTCTCTCTTCCCAAGATGCTCTATTGTTAGAGATTACTATTAGATTTTTAG